GGCCTTGATCACTGTTTAGATAGCATTTGACAGGGCATGGAGGGGCCACTTAAAAGTACCAAATTGCTGTCAGCAATGTGGTCTGCAGCTGAAATACAAGGATTAATTTCTTGTAGGGGATTTGTTAGGGAAAATGATGTTTTGGGCATTGTGAATTATAATTCCAATATTTAGGAATGTATAGATTGTGTTTCTGAAAGCACATTACTCTTATTTTCCTTGAGAAACTATATAATTCATTTGGATGACCAATGCTGAAGATGAAGATTAAATCTTGGACTGTGAGAAGAAATTAGCAAACCTAAATTGAAAATCTACCAAAATATATTTTGTAATTATGTTGATTCTGCAGAACCTGTTTGTACGAAAGAGTTATCATTTATAAACAACACTATATGACACCTAGTCTTCATTATTAGAAAGTGTTGTTTGCGGCTATAACTAAACTACTCAACCAAAAAATGTTGAATTATATTGAGGCCCCTGCCCTAGTAAACTTGCCTTGTAGATATTATTTATGGCTCTCATTTTCCAGTGAGAAGGCAGAAACGCAGGCTATGGCTCTTGGCCAGGCTTCCGAAGAACCCTCTTTCGCAGAATTTTCTGTTTGCACAGTACTACGTCTTGAATTGTTTGCCCAGTGTCCTTTTAAATCACTGTATGGCAAGGCTGACCCAAAGTCCAAGGTCCCACAAATGGCTCCAGTCCAGAAGCACCTCCCTGCCCCTTTCCCTTGCACCCTGAACAAAGAAGAGCATGAAGACTCATAACCAGTTCTCTTTTTCCATCCCTACCCCATCCCTTAGAGAGGCCTGGAAGTGCCAAAAGTCACCAGATGGGAAAACATCCGAAGAACAAATTGTTCTAGTACACACATCATTTCCCAACACCTCTGAAGAAACAACATCCCTTTAAAACAATGTAATGCAATGAGAGTCATATGAGGAGCTAATCACTGGGCGAGAGCCTTGTTTCCATGCTCTTAGACTTTCAATGTGAGTGTCTTTGGATTGTTTTGGTTTGAGGCAGGACTTTCCCAGGAGGTGCTTGCTGTTGACACTAAGGTTGGCCAGCTGTCAGGCTCACCCAGAATCCTTGTCAGTTATCTTTCCATTGTAAATTAATTGTGTCCCTGAAAGAGATGGTAACATAGTGATATTTCTTTTTGGGCTAAAACACCACTTTCTTAAATCTTTGAATTATCCCTTGGCAAATTCCCTGTTTTAGTTAATAAACAGTGCTATCATTCATCTCCTGTCACTTACTGCACACCTCAGTGAGTACAGAGGCAAGGCTACTACTGGTCTAATTGCAGCAATTACTTAGATGCACGCAACTTGTGATGATCTATAGATAGCCTTCAAACCCCAAGGATGGGGTCTGGCCAGATTTAACTAAAGGTCCTGTGCAATGCTCTGTGGGATTTCTGTTCCAAATATGCTCTGGGGAGTGAGACAGAGAGATGGTGTTACAACCCTTCCTGATTGCAGTGCCATTTCTATGCTCTTATGTGCACACTCTTGCTCCATGGGGGTGTTGTTCTAATGTGCCTTCAGGTTGTTTCCAGCTTATGGCAACCCTAAATTGTACCTATCATTGAATTTTCTAATTCCAAGGGGGGGGGAGGGGTTGCCGTTGCTTTCCTGTGGGGCTAAAAAAGTGTGACTTGGCCAAGGTCACCTGTTGGGTTTCCATAGCTGAGCAGAATCATGGGGGTACTTCCCCTTTAAAAACACTCTTATCAATTTTTAGCTTTAGCAATGTTCTCTGCCCATGCTTTATTTCCATAAAAGCAGTCTCTTCTTATGTTGGCTGTATGTCCACCCTGTGTTATATCTCTACATACAAACAAGGAGGAAAGAAATTCCCACTGAAATGTGTTTGGTGTTTTGAGGCTAAACTTTTGGAATTAAGGAAAAAACAATCTCACAGGCATAACATATGGAGATTTCATGATATCTAGTAATTTTAGAATGTCTAGTAAGTTTTCCCAGGCTCTACTACAGATCACATAGGCAACTTCATCTCCTGTCATTACTGACATTGTATTGCTTCCGCTCTACTGGTGTCACTGCCTTTTTGCTTCTGCGAGGAATGCAAACAAGGTTAGCAGAAGCAAAGCCAATGTTTATGTAACCAACAGTTAAAGAAAATCAGTAATATGTGAGTCTAATCTAAATCAGATTTCCAAATGGCACAGAGAGAGGGACTAACATCTGGGGCATGATAGCCTCGTAGGAAAATATCACATTGCTCTGGGCCGTCCTAATCAGAATGTGATGAAATGTGCAAATGGAAAATGGCAAAAAGCTGCTTTTGAAGCACTGAGTGTTTAGCAAATTATCTCACTGTTTTGGGAACAGCTCTTATATTTGGTTCGGTATCCCTGACTATAGGTAATGTGTCCTTAATAGAAAAGGCAAACAGTAGTTTTTTCTAAGAGCTTTCAAAGCAAGCATGAGGTTCAGAGATGTGGTTTTTCTACCACTAAATGTTACAGTCAGCTGTATATGCTGGAATTGTCTGCAGCCTAATGCTGAGGCAGACATTTCTGTGTATGAAACTCCTTTTGTTTCAACCTCTTTGCCAACAGTTTGTGTGCTCTCTTGAATTTGCCGATTTAAGAAATATACTTCAAAAGCTGGCTGTAGGACATTTTATGGTCCTCTTAGGTCCTTGAATCATTGCTGTTGTGCAATGTCAGAAGGAATGATATCTCAAACCGCAGCTTTTGAAGGACAAACATTTGTCCTGTTGAGCCCGTCTCCCCCCTCACCCCAAATTGTCAGTGTTGTAACTCCATCTCTCTGTTCTCCTTTTCTCAAGCATCAGGAACATTCTCATCAACGTTTCCATTTTTGTCAGCCACAAAGTCAGGCTGTTTGATTTTTTTTAATCTGATGCTTGCTTTGTGTACTTTTGAGACCGTTCTAGGGTTTTCCGTAGATTTTGCTATTTTACTCCCTGTAATTTGAAAATAAAACTCACTGCTTCTTTTGTTTTAAAATATTGTCTATCATTTTCAGTCTGATGTTAATGTTCAGAAGAAAATGTTTCTGGATCCAAAGGAGTTTTTTTTAACATTACTTAGAAAAATACATTTAGTTTTAATATGCAGTAGATAACACAAGATCACTACTTTTAAAAATTCAGTCATATTTTCTTTATTCAGATACAGTGTGGATTTTGTTTTCTAATTAGGCACAGAAAATATAAGTGGTGACTTTTGCCTTATGCATGATAACAGTTGTTATGGAGTTTCCACCCATAATACCAGCTCAGCATAATTGCTCCTCCCTCCTTGCAATTGGGTATATGTCAGGCTCACAAAGTAAAATTTATTTTATGTTCACATGATAAAATGTCCGCTGTGTTGGTTGTCCTTGATTATCAGCTGGAGTCCAGGAATGTCCCTGGCCTGGCCTGGTGCCCTTTGCTCTGAATAGAGCCTTTACAGGAAGAGCCATGAATTCCAAAACTTTTCAAATTGAAATTTGATTAGGTGGCTGATCAGTCCTTTACTCCCAGGCAAACCTTATCTGTTGCTGCCAGTTCTCATTCCTTTGTTTTCCTACTGGTCAAATATTTTATAGATCAATTGGAGCCCCACTAGCAAAAGGAACTGGTGGTAATTCCAACTGTGTTTCTCTGTTGCCTTGAAACTAATTAGATCAAGGGTCGTCAAACTTTTTTTAACAGGGGGCCAGTTCACTGTCCCTCAGACCGTTGGAGGGCCGGACTATAGTTAAAAAAAAAGCTATGATCAAATTCCTGTGCCCACTGCACATATCTTATTTTGAAGGAAAAAAATACGGGAAGAAATACAATATTTAAAGTGAAGAACAAGTAAAGTTAAATCAACAAACTTATCAGTATTTCAGTGGGAACCATGGGCCTACTTTTGGCTAATGTAATGAGATGGTCAATATCCGGTTCCATATTTGTCACTGCTAGTTGTAACAAATGCTGCAAGTGTGCATCAGTTAGTCTAGAACTGGTTGGAGATTTCAGATGTTTCATTCATTGTGTGGTTTTATAGTTCACCAGCCATAAAAGGGCATTCTGAGCTCCACCAACAATGAAACTAAACCAAACATGATATGCAGAACTTCCATGACCAACAGAAAATACTGGAGAGCTTTGGTTAAAATACACTCAGACATGAGGGAGTTGCAGTAGCTCTTGAAATCAAAGAGCATTAATGCCCCAATAATGGAATTCAACCAAACTTGGCATACAGAACAATACAGCAGCACAATACAGCGGCAAGTACAACTTGGTAATTATTTGTCATGACCATTGCAAGTTTGCTTTAAAATGACAAAAATAACTTTGGCATTGTGGTCTGTTTTAGTCTTCCTTGGTAATTAATTTGCTGTGGTAAAGCCTGTGGTGCACAGAAGAGCATGCCAAACCTTATAGCTTTAACACTACTGATGCACTGTAGCAATAGAGTGAAATACTATTCAGCTATGTCATCTCTGCAGATTACCTTACTATGCAGTATCTTATCTATGTGGATAATTGGTAATAAGGAAGTGTATAATATTATATAATTATTTCCTGCACGAAGCATTTAAATTAAATCAGAAACATGTAACCTTCTAGAAGTTCGTGAACTTTTCCTTTTAGCATTCATCACCACTGGTTGGACTGGCAAGGGCAAAATGAATTCAATGTTTGGAGAATCATAGGTTCCTCATTTCCAATTTCCATGTGTATGTTTGTGTGTGAAAGAGAGTTTTACGTTAAAATAAGGTAGATTTTCATTGAGCATTAGAAGGAATTTTTTGACAGTCAAAGCAGCTCAGTAATGGGACCAATTGTCTAAAGAAGTGGCAGGAAACTCCTCTGGTTATCTTCAAAAAGTCTAGACAGGTATCTGCTGGGGATCCTGCATTGAGTATCAAATTAGACCTGATTTAGGCACATTCTAGCTTTATAAAGGGGGGTTGCTGATATAATCACTCTTTTAACATCTGTTGTTTTCTGTCTTCTAGGTGAGGCTGGTGCAAATATAATTCATGTATCCAAAGAAGCTCGGAAGAGATTTCTTGGTCCATTGCACCCATCCTTTAACTTGGTGAAAATCATCCGTTCTTGCCTATACAAGACCTTGCCAGACAATGGGCATGAGTTGGCTAGTGGACGCTTGGGCATCTCACTAACACGCGTCTCAGATGGAGAGAATGTCATATTATCAGAGTTTACTTCCAAAGAAGAGCTTATCCAGGCAAGTAGTAACATAATTTCTGAGTAGACTTGGGTGAGAAGTTCTAAGGGAACCAACTACCTGTGCCTAGGAGACTTAATCAGTCTAAGATTTCAACATAAATGACTATCCATTGGCTGCAAGTTGTATTATCAAATTCAATAATAATAATAATAATAACAACAACAACAACAACAACAACAACTTTATATACTGCTCTATCTCCCTGAGGGGACTCAGGACAGTTTCCAGTTCACTTGGTGTTCTGTACTGTATACTTAAATCATCGCTGAACATTGCTTAGAGTTCCCTAGGTGTTTCCATTCTTTCACATGATATTTTTCTGTCTCTCTTTCTCAGGCATGTGTCTGCAGCACTTTCATTCCTGTATACTGTGGTCTCATCCCTCCAAGTCTACAAGGAGTGGTAAGAACTTTGTGGTGGGACATTGGCTTTTAAACTTTCCTGTTCTGTGAGATACTTTTATGTTGCATCAAGGGGGAAGGAGGAAGTTGTAGAGCTGTGACAAAAAGAGGGATTAAAGTGAGTTGTTACATGCCTATTACTTAGCATAACAGGGACATAAGCTATTGCAGAAATGTTCTTCTTGGGAAACTTTGCTTGCATTCATGAATTGAGCTCAAACAATCCCTTTGAAAAACATGTTTAGCCAAAATCTATTGCTGACATTATCCTTTATTCTTGACTATGTTGAAAATAGTAGTTTGCAAGCCACCAACAACGTTCCTTAGCTAAATTCCCTGCCCTAAAATATTTCCTAGCATTTAGGCATTTTGGAAGCTTTCTTCAGATCTGAGGAAGTACACTTAGTCTCTGAAATCTTATGTTACCAATTTCCTTTTCTCAGTCTCTAAGGTGCTACAAAATATCTGCATATTTTCTTCAAAATAGTAGTTTCATTGTTTTTGCAATTTTTGTTGTGGCAGAACAGAAAAGAAAGTTTACTGTGATTTGATTATTCCTCCTCACTTACATAGGGAGCTAAGATAAAGCAATTTAATCTAGCCCACCTCCTTTAGAAAAAAAGAATAGAGCAGAATGGAGGGTGAGCCCGAGTGCTACTGTTAGGAAGGAAGGATTAAACTAACCAAGTAAATACACAAACCCTCTTTGCTTGTTGCTTCAACAAATCAATTAAGACTTGCAAAATGTAGCCAGCTACTGCTCCGAGCTGAGCTCAGAAAAACTGGAGATTCTACACCCTTTTCTTCCCTTGGAGATAATCCATGCAAACTGAAGGCTAAAGGCCAGGCCTGAGATATGTCAAGTCTAACACATCATGTGTTGTCTGACAAAGTTGAACTGCATTATTATCATCTCCATATTACAAATGGTGGACTCAACCAGAAATATCACAGCTTGCCAAAACCAGTTCAGCAGGTTCATGACATTGGTGAGAATTAAGCCAGTCTGTTATTGACAGTTCTACACCAGGGATTTATAGGGCTCCAATTTCCTTGTCATCCCAGTCAATGCTAAAGGATAATGGGAGTACCCATTCCTCAACATCAGGAAAAGCAAAGGAGGCAAAATGGCAAAGGTTTGTTATTGAACGTCATTTACATTTGCAGCAGCCTCCATATCAGCACCTTATATTGATGGATGGGGGACTACCACTACTCTCACAACAGTGCAGTATGGAAGCATTGTGAGAATCCTATAGCATTGCTTGGAATCAAAGATGGTTTATAAAATAAAGCAAGGGGAAGAGATGATTCTGGATTACAGTGCCTGCTGTGTCCTCTTCTCTCTTGTTCTATGAAGGCTTGTGAGTTTAAAGAAGTGGGAGAGTTCATGGGATAAGTGGGAAGATAAAGGAGTATTGGGTAGGGATACTTTTTCTTGCCAGTGCACAGGAATCTTTATCTGTTTATTATTGCCTTTGCTTGTGTTAGTAGCTAGCCCTGGACTTGGCTATCTGTGGAAAGTGCTGGCGTAGAGGAATGTGCTGAGTTTTCTAGAACAGGCTTAGCAGGAAGCTTCAGGACTTTGGTTGCTAGAGAACACCCTGTGCCGCTCCTCCCTTTGGCCAGTCTGCTTTTGCTCTGGCCTGAACTTTATTCTGTTTCTGAGGCCAGTGTAGGCCAGCAAATGGCTTTTGATTAGCAAATCATCTTAGCACCTGGCCTCTGCTCTACAGAAGAAGTAGGCGATGGCCTCATGTCTGAGAAAGAAGGTGGCAGTTTAATCCCTTGATCTTTCATGTCTATCCTGGAAGCTGATATGGGTATTGCGCTGGAACTGGGACTGCAAGGTTCCTAACCAACTTTTGCCAAATACTGCCTACCAATCCCCCTTTATTTATATCTTACCTTTGCCCCAAAAAGTGAGATTCAAGGAAGCTTGCATAATATAAAGAAATACAAATGCAGTCAGCCTCCACATTTGCAAGAATTAGGGGCACAGGACTCTCATAGAAGTGAAAAACCACCAATAAAAGTGTTTTCTTTTTTCTTTTTTTTACAGAGAGAACATTTCTCTAGGAATTTCTAGATCCTTCAGCACAACTCTGTGGTTAACTTCTATTGGAAGCTGATCATAGAATCACAGTAGAGAACCTAGAGATTTCAGAGAGGTGTTTTTCTAGGAATCACTAGGTCCCTCCAGTGTGTGTCTACCTGTAGTCAAGACCATAGAATTATGCTGGAAGACATAGAGATTCCTAGGGGCAGTATTGTAATCAAATCTGCAAACAAGCAAGTCCACAAATAATAAAATCCTACAAATGTGAATGGCTGATTGTAAAATGCATGTAGCTAAAGGACACAAAAAGTAAGATTGAAATAGTAATAAAATGTCTTTAGCTAAATCTGGCTCACCATTGTCATTTTATGTGGTCCATGATGCTTTCAGTGCCAGGGCAACATAGTTACATTTATATAGTCTTACAATTGCTAACGGCTCTTTGAAGTCAACCATAAGGCCGATGCGGCACTCAGTGACAATGCGCCTGACACCCCTGCCTTAGTCTATCAGTTCCCAAAAGCTTGTAGATGAGAGGACAGAAAGAAAGCAGCCAGCCTAGCCTCCCAAGAAATACAGTTACAAAATGTTGGAGCAGCCACAGAGATAGTGTCTTCTTTTGCTTCCTCTAAGCATGCCTGTAAGGGTAGCGAGACAGAGAGAAGTACCCCACTCACTCCAAAGATCTAAGAATTTGGTCAGGCTCATATGGGATGATAGGTCAACCAGACAGCCTTGGCCTGTGCTTTACAGGGCTTCTTCATAGGTCATTACCAACACTTTGAACTGTGCTTGCAAATACACCACCAGCCACAGGGAGATCTTCTTGCAGTGGAGTCCTGCCTGGGCCTCAAGGTCTTTTCCTTTGAGTAAGATGTGAAAAGTAAAATGAGAGAAAACTGGCCTCGTTTGACGCCATGAAACTGTGCTTTAGTCTCAATCTTAAAATGGCACATAGAAGGGTTTTCCTTCCCACCTCTTTTACATTATGCATACATTATTTGGTAGCTGATCTGTGTTTGTGGAGGAAAGGGGCATTAAGGGAAGTTTCCCCTGCCTCTTTGGAATGCCCTCTAGGATTAGGGCATGCATCAACCATCTCCCTTGTCTGCCTTTGTTGTGAGTCTACTGAAGTTAAGTATTATATTTAAATAATGTGGCATTGCTGTTGACTCTCGGTGCCCCCGGTGGCACAGTAGGTTAAACCCTTGTGCCGGCAAGACTGCTAACCGATAGGTCAGCGGGTTGAATCCAGGGAGAGCGGGTTGAGCCCCATCTGTTAGCTCCAGCTCCCCATGCGGGGACATGAGAGAAGCCTCGCACAAGGATGTTAAACATCAAAACATCCTGGTGTCCCTGGCAATGTCCTTGCAGGTGGCCAATTCTCTCAAACAGAAGTGATTTGCAGTTTCTCAAGTTGCTCCTCACACACACACACACACAGACACAAAAAAACAAACCAAGAAAACTATTGACCATAGTTTATTGAAAAGAATTCTTGTCAAACCATAACTTGTGAATCTCACTTGTTTCAACCATAGGTAAAGTTAACCACAGGATGGAGTTCAGGTACAACATAAAACTATGATTAGTTGAGATTACTTGAAATGTCCAGTTTTGATCTGTGTGGCAGCCCAGAAGAGGAGGAAGGGGAAAGCACAAAAGATCAATACTCATGCGCATAATAATAATAAACAGTGGCTTATCATTAGTCAGAACTGGAGGGTGAGCTCCTCTGAAGTGCTCTTCGTCTGTTTGTAGGGGAGGGTATCACGCGTTCAACTTGACTCCTGTGATCTGGGAACTTGCGAAGAAGATCAACATGTACTGTTTGTTCCCTTCTGGAAAATAGGTGAAAGGGTACTGATATAGAAGGATGGATTTATTTATGTCCTTTTTCTGTTACATAATATTATTAATAATAACAGCTGTGAAAGGACTGCACCTTGTTTGGGGGGAAAATATTCTCCTTCACCCACCTCTCTGGGGGCTTAATTTAATTTCAGATCAACAACTTAGGGTGTGTTAGTCTTAATTCTCTTATCTTCGGTGAACTGAAAGTACTTTACTCTCTCTAGAGACAGGCTTGCAACTGAAACCAAGGTACAGGAAAGGGAGCATTTACATACAGTACAAAAGAGTGTAGTTTAAAATCATTGCAGTGGTCTCATAAAACAAATCAGATAATTAGGACTGGATGGAGATTGGCAAAGAGAAAAAGGAACAGAACCCAATTCTCTTCAGCTCTTGATAATCTAGATGGCTATAGCAAAGTAACTCGATACAGCATTATACAACACAAGAACCATTTGCAATTGGATGTAAGTGTTTGGTGGCCTGGGAAGGTGGACGTGATTATAATTATTTAAAAAAGGCGGAGGATACTATAGAATTGCTTAAATCTTATCTTTCCTTTTCCCCAGAGGTATGTTGATGGAGGGATTTCAGACAACCTGCCACAGTATGAACTGAAGAACACCATCACAGTATCTCCCTTCTCAGGCGAGAGTGATATATGTCCAAGGGACAGTTCTACCAATATCCATGAGCTCAGGGTGACTAATACCAGCATTCAGTTCAATCTGCGAAACCTCTACCGCCTCTCCAAGGCCCTGTTTCCACCGGAGCCTCAGGTGAGAGCCAGGCATTATGTCTATAAGAGGAAAACAATGCTCTTTCTTTCTTTCCTTCTTTCTCTTTCCATTGGTCCTCCAGAGTTGGAAATATTTGTTTCCAGTCTTTCCACATTTTAAGAAATATCTTTTATGAAGATGTAACTGTTGGCTATTTGAAATCTGTCAAAATACTGCAGTTAGTTTATGCTTCTAAACAGCACAGTCTTAAGAATGTTTGCCTGGTGGTAAGTCCCACTGTGTTTGGTGGGACTTATTTTATGTGAACCTGCATAGGATTCCAGTTATCCAAAACTAATAGGCAATCTAAAAGCTATGAGACAAGAAATAACTCAGCAAGTTCTACATTTTCTGGACTATGAAAATAAACTTACATGGCCAACCTTTTTGAACAACTCTTAAGAAATAGCTTTTAGAAGTTTAGGACAAGATAGAAGTTCAGCAGCCACAGCTCTAAGTCTGTGCCTTGCTAATCTCCTGTTTTCTCTCTCCCATATACATATTGCCAATCAGTATACCAAGCACTGTTATACCACTACTGAAATGTGTGTCTAGAAAAAAAAGTGTCTAAATTCAAGTGTTCAATTTGGTGTAGATTTCTAAATATAAGTTATTTATATTTTCAGAATTTTATTTGTTAGCAGATATTTCTGTCAACACAATTTGAAACGGCCAAAGTACAAAAACAGTCTTACCCTTTATAAAAGCTTCAAGGTTGTCTTAGCATCTATGTTTGACAGTTAGGCTTTTGGCATTTCATGAACAGCTGCACATTTCCTTTGAGAAACCAACAACAAAGTCACTCAAAGTCATATGTGTCCGTGCACTCTGGTACCCATATTGATTCCTGAAGGTGCTAAAAGTTAATGTAAATTTGTTTTAGCATGATAGTTAGTTTGATTCACATGAAAAAGTTATGGAGCCATAAGCCTCTAAACATTGTAGGACAGGGCTAAAGGATAGTTTGTTGAGCGGGGACAGCATGAAGACATTCAAATATTGAGCAAGAAAAATTATGCATTGGCTGAAAATGCTTATATACTATTTATATTTGCCTATATTGGCAGGAATTTGCATTATTTTTTAACCTTTCCAAACTATTCAATTTTGGTGTGTTAGAGTACTGGTGCAAAATGTAGGCATACATATTTCAGATTGTATCCAGTCCTATCCTTTTGTTCATGCAAGGCTCTTTGGTCCTATGCAAACTTTCTGTAATAAAAGAGGGAGGGATGTGCTTTTCATTCATCCCTCTTTGGATAGCAGAAACCTATTCTGGAGAGACTTCAGACTTGTCATATTTATCTTGCATTTTTGAGAACCCCAAGATATATTACCAACGACACAAGACACATCTGTTACTTCTAGAGTGGGAATCTTGTGGCCCTCTTGTGGATGCTGTTGAACTGCAACTCCCAGCATTCCTCAGTACTAACTATTATGGCTAAAGCTGCTGGGAGCTTGAATCTAATAACATCCAGAGGTCTGCAGGATCCTTGCATTGGCTTAGATGTAGTCTTCCTAAAATAATGTCATTTGTCTCATGTTTTACAGGTTCTGCAGGACATGTGTAAGCAGGGCTACAAGGATGCTTTACACTTCCTGAGGAAAAATGGTAAGCACCAGTTCCAAATCTATGGTTTTATATGCCTGCATTCTCCAGCACAGCCTTTTCCCAGCTCGATGCCTCCAAATGTGCCAGACTACAGCCCTATTACCATGCAGCCTGGGCATAGTAGTCATTGTAGTTTAGTATATTTAGCATATTTGGAGGGTTTCTGATTGAGGAAAATTTTTCTGACAGAGTGAATCATGTGTAGCTCTTCCTTTCTTTTCTTTTATTGTTCTAGAGCCTTTTTCTGCATAAAAAGGGTCATTTTAGAAACCATAAATGTCTATACCTAACCCATAGTCTTTCCAATCGTGTAATTGTTGCTACAGAGAAAACAGGTAATAAAACAAATTATCCTCTTTATTTGGAGCAGCATCTGGTTTTCAATGTGCAAACTCTCAAATGCAAAGAACTTTCTCATTAGGGAGAAGGGAAAGATCTCTACCATGAGTGTGTTCAGTAAGATTAACTGTGGCTGAGCTCCTTTCCATCTTAAATGTTCAGGAAAACTCTGAGTAACAAATGCTTCTTCATACTCCATATTAATGGCACTTTACCAACAGAAGAACTGTCTCTTTGATTTATACATACTGGCAACTGAGTCCATTTTGCAGATCTTTGGATCTGTCCATAGAGGTGGGATGGGCAATGTTGGAAAGGTGAGGAGCCATATTTTACCCTCTGGCTCCTCACCTGTCTGGTACAACAACTCTCCCCCTGCATTAAAGAAGTACTTAAAAAGTACGATAGGAATCAAAGATGGTGGTTACCAGACTTCCAAGTCTGATGTTTCAGTTTTGCTTTATCCTGTTTGAAATGAAGTTTCTAGATTTCCAGTATTAAATGGTGTTAAGTGAATGAACATAAGCTTCTTGTTTCCCTCAGTGGCAAAACACCTGTTTCTCTAACACTCTGGTTTCTACACTATGGCCAGAGCATATGATCTGTGCCTTTAGCATCACCTTGTGGTGCACAGTCTGTAGTGCAGCATATCCATCTTGATAACTTATCCATGGCATTTTGGCTTAGGTTTCTGTGTTGTCATGACAGATCACATAGTCTTTGCATGTACTAAATCTGAAATTGTTATTTTGCATATTGTAGGGTAAAGCAACCCCAGGTAATACACAGGACTGGCCCAGGTCACTTACAGGGAGAACTGATTTGCTGATATACAAATTTCTTTTATGATTGCATACATAAATAAATCTATGCCTATAAAGCCTATCAGGGACTTCACAATTCTATCTGAAGTCCAAGGTTACACTGCAGAAAGTACAAAACTGATCTGCACATGAAGATAAAGCACATGCAGAGTTCCCAGAATTATTTCAGATCACAATTCTGAACTCTTGAACTTGCAGCACAGTCATTCTGTTTATGAGACCATACACTGAAAACAGAGTAAAAGCAAACTTCCATATTGGCTCACAAATGCCTCCCGCCCCCTCAATGCAAAAAGTAATTCTTGGTTTTGCCATTTAATATAAGGGACACCATTTTATTTCACCATTGTGTATAATGGGACTTGAGCATCCATAGATTTTGGTTTGGTCCTGGAACCAAATCCCAGCAGGTACTGAAGGCCCACTGTACAGTATATAGGCACTTCTGGCTAATCTTCTGCTGGTATGTTTCTAACTTTACTTGGTGGTAATTTCTTGTTCATTGCTTCTTATTTTTAGAGCTCCCCCCCCCCCCATGCAAAATCTTTCTTCCTTAGCTCTCTGCATATAAGTCACTCTTTCACTGAGCACAATAAGGCCCATTCTCCATGTTGATGAGAGAAAGAATTGTTATTCACAGGCATGGGAAACATTTTTCTTGAATTTCAATAACTCCATTACCCAACTCCCCTCCTTAGGTCTCCTACAGCACCAAAGGCCTGCCCGCCCTTTGCTGGCCATTGGAAATGGTGCTGATGGCAGAAACCCTGAAGAGGAAGCCGAAGAAGAGGAGGACCAGTTGGGAGAGAACCCGGCACTGGTGGAGGCTGAAGAGCATATCCTGGAACACTTGCCTCCTAAACTAAACCAAGGTATGGTCCTTTATGGAAGAGAGTGCTTGCTTCGATGGTTGTATCTGGGTCGAGGAAAGGGAATGGTGAAGCCTACCAGTTGTTGTTGGGCCATAAATCATAGCCAGTGATTGAGAGCATTGGGAACTGGAACTCTTTAACCTCAGGTTACATGATTCCCACTCCTCATCTAGGCCAAGGCTCTTCCTGTTAAATGAAGGCTGCTTCTCATATTCCCCTTTCCTGTTTAGTACCCAAACTGCGATTTAGCTAGTAAACCTTACTTCATGTTACATCTGATCGATGATATGAGAAACTGCAGGTACAAGCTATTGCAACTGTAGGCTGGACAAACTTGTTTTAGAATTGTAGTGCCCTTAGAGCTTTGTTGATAAAAGCTTCATGCATCCATAAAGAATCAAGCACTTAGGGCTTTTAGGTTCTTTAGCGTGTGACAGTTTTTGTAAAAGTGAGGAAGAACAGAGCTGTTTGGCCTACTGTGCCAATAAGAGGAAACTGTATTTGGCTGCTTCCCCTTAGCTCAGGGGTTCTCAACCTGTGGATCACCAAATGTTTTGGCCTACAACTCCCAGAAATCCCAGCCAGTTTACCAGCTGTTAGGATTTCTGGGAGTTGAAGGCCAAAACATCTGGGGACCAAGAGCTGGATGAAGTTTGAATTTTGTAGTCCTTATTTCTTGGACAAGAATATTTTGATCATTGGTTTCTACTCTTAAAATTATGGAGTGGAAGAGCTCTGAATTATGTGCTGAACAAATGAATGGAATAACCCATCTTCTCACCTTCAGCACTTTTGGAAGCCTGTGCGGAGAGGAGAGGACTCTTCACTGGCATTGCCAACCTGCTACCTATACGCCTGGCATCTACCTTGATGCTCCCGTATACACTTCCTCTAGAGTCTGCTGTCTCATTCACAGTCAGGTAGGTTTTACACCTATTTCTTAGACACCCTTTTCTTAGGCTGCTAGTGAAATAATGTTGCTGGTAGGGCTCAAAATTTGTAGTAGTAGTAATAATCATCATAATAATAATTTTATTTCTTATCCTCTTCCTCTCATGGCTCGAGGCAGGTTACAACAATGATAAAAACACACAATCATCTAAAGACATTCTATAAAATACACATATTAAAACATCTTTCTACAAAATACATATTAAAATACGCAGAACAAAGAAAGAAAGTATGTATGGCTTGCTCTGTCAGCAGGAGGGTTAATGAACTTTGTGTTTAGTTGAACTTTGTTCTGAAACAAGTCAGAGCACAAACCATTCCAAGTGGGGAATTCCTTGTGAGACAATGACCTCTCCCAAGATATGACTAATATTATGGAAAGCAACCCTATGACATACTATAGTTAGAACTAAAGCAGAATACAGACTTGGCCATAGAATGCAATGGTATCCTGATTTATTTAAATACAGAAATTCTAGGCTATATGGATGTAGAAATGTTTGATGCTATTTAGGCAAATACTCCAAAGAGAGGAAGTTAAATTGGCTAGTAGGTTAGGAATGTTGCATAACTTTACTTTTTGAAAAATCTTCCATTGGCAGCTGGTAACATTTTTATGCCACTGGTCTTTTAAAAACTAAAGACCAGTGTTTAGTTGATGTTTTGATCTTGAATTGCTGTTTAGATAACTTCTATATTTTTAATCAAAGATCCTGTAGTGTTCTTAATCTATATTGTTTTAAAATACATTGCTAGCTACTTTTATTCAAAGGCAGAATACTTAATGTTCATGTGGGGAAAGTGCATACTACCCTGGTTGTAAGTCATCTAGGTCTGTAATTGCTTTAAAAAAATATTATAGGCTGCCTCTTCATCACAACTTCTTGCACAAGGTCAAAGAAAAGAACAATGTGATGCAATCAAGCCTAGCAATGAAAGAAAATTAACTCACACATAGTAGACAACAGTGGAGTTACAGACAGCTATTTAGCTACTGTTTCAGAAGCTCTGGGAATCCTCAGTTTGTTCTTAGATTTTAAGAAGAAAGACATCATACTTCTTTGTGTAAAACATGGACATAGATCATTATGAAATTCAGGAACAGTGAAAAATATAATGGCAGTGAAACAAAGCTAAATTGTAATGGCTAAGGTACTGAGTTGTCTGTCCTGACCTCTGACTGGAGATCCTGGTGCCAAAAAAAGGCCTTTTAACTGGCAAACTCCAGAAACAAATCAAGCTGTAGAGCAGGCCTGCACAGATTACAGTCCTCCAGGTATTTTGGATTTCAGCTCTCAGAACTCCTGAGAGCTAGGGCTTCTGGGAGGTGGAGACCCAAATACCTGCAGGGCCTCAGATTGTGCAAGGTGTAATGTGGACAAACGAAAGACTGTCACCTCAAAAGTATGTGTGACAGATTCACCATTGTTTTAGCCTCCCTGAGAGAAAGCAAGGTTGACTGTTGCTTCATCTGATGGGAGTTACTTTCCCTTCGTGCTTTCCTATACTGCTGTGTTATTGTTTTATTACAAATAGTGTATCTAGTTGCTTGTATTTCTCATCCAGTCAGCATCTTGCCAGGAAGGGAATTGCCTGGTGAGTGGGAAACCCCATTCTACCGTTTCCCCACATCCCACCACTGGTGATTTAATGTATTCATTAAATACAGATATATGCAGGATTATCAGTCTGGGAAGGCAGCTCCTACATATTGCAGTGTGTATGATAGGGTCCAGCTTCAGAAGCACTATTACATGTATGATTCCATGATGGTTTTAATAGATGCAATTTACATTTTCATTGACAAATGTTAGTTTAAAAGTTTTCAGTCACCTGGAAACCACTTGCTGCAGAACCACAGAGAAGCTATAAGTGATTGTTTGTCATTATGACTGTGTGCTATCCTCTAGGATTAAAGGCAGCATTCCTGTGAATACGTTACTAGGAAACAGCAGGAAAGGGCTAAGGCTTCTGTTTGAGTAATGTGGGAGAGAGAATGCTGGACTATACTGACCTTTCAATCTAGTGCAGCCAGGCTGTTCTTGTGAAGATTGCTTACATTCTAGTTTTGGAGTGGCTGTTTTAGAAGGCTGAATTAAATCATGACATGGCTTGCATTAATTCATGCTTGCAATATAGCAAAAGCTGGTTTAAATAACAGTTTCTCTGCTTGTGTCTGTCTGTCTGTCTGTCTGTCTTCTTCTAGATTGCTTGAATGGCTGCCAGATGTTCCCGAGGATATTAGGTGGATGAAAGAACAGACCAGAAAAGTCTGCCACTATCTTATGAGAAAAGCAAAGAACAAACTGGGAAGTCACCTCTCAGCCAGGTATGTGGGCTGGATTACATCTTTGTCTTTCGAGAAACATTGCAACACTGGGAGGACGAACACAAAGTTGCCATATAACTGGCACCATAAAATGAATGAACTCTGAGACTTTGACCATAAAGTCAATGTCCTTTCTCAGAAATCAGTTCCTTTGGAACCAATATTTGTGTAAATTGACAGATTGTAGAGGTGTCATCTTAACCTGGATGAACCCTTGTTGAATAAAGGAGTCTCTTTTGTAGAAGACCTGAATATGGTTGCATTTCAATAATCTAATTAAGGTTATGAGAGTGTAAGTAAATCCATCATAACCTGCTTCATTTTGTAGGCTGGTATTTAAAATGTGCACTAAAACAAAATCAGAAGCCCATTCACCAAAGTTCCAGATTTATTAGATGTGTGCATACAATGTGTAGCGTGACTTAAGGTCACTGGATATTATATAAAAGATACTGTGGAAACTCTGCTTCCTTTCATAAAAGGAAAAGACCTAATTTACAAGTACTGGATGCTTCAAAGATCTGTCTTTCTGGATCACGTTTAAAACAGAAATAATGAACTGGTACAAAAGTATCTTTGTAAACTATTCCCTAGAGCAGGGGTCCTCAAACTAAGGCCCGGGGGGCGGATGCAGCCCTCCAAGGTCATTTACCCGGCCCTTGCTCAGGGTCAACCTAAGCCTGAAACGACTTGAAAGCACACAACAACAACAACAACAACAACAACAATCCTATCTCATCAACCAAAAGCAGGCCCACACTTTCCACTGAAATTTGTTGTGAGGCTGGGAAAAAATTAAATTAAATTTATTTATTTACTGTATTTTTACCCTACCTTTCTCACCCCAAAGGGGACTCAAAGTGGCCTTACAATAGGCTACAATTTGATACCATAAAATACTCCTTCCCACCCGCTACTAAGGAGGCTGTCCAGGTCCTGAACCGGTGCTTGGCCGCTGTGATGGTCTGGATGAGGGCGAACAAACTGAAGTTGAATCCAGACAAGACAGAGGTACCCCTGGTCAGTCGCAAGGCCGAACAGGGCATAGGGTTACAGCCTGTGTTGGATGGGGCTACACTCCCCCTGAAGATGCAGGTTTGCAGCTTGGGTGTGATCCTGGATTCATCACTGAGCCTGGAACCTCAGGTTTCAGCGGTGACCAGGGGAGCATTTGCACAGTTAAAACTTGTGTGCCAGCTGCACCCATACCTTGGGAAGTCAGCTCCACTGGCTGCCAGTTTGCTACCGGGCCCAATTAAAAGTGCTAGCTTTGGCCTATAAAGCCCTAAACAGTTCTGGCTCAACTTGCCTGTCCGAACGTGTCTCCCCTTATGAACCATCGAGGACTCTTAAGATCGTCTGGGGAGGCCCTGCACTCAGTCTTTGTCTCAAGTACGTTTGGCGGGGACAAGAGACAGGGCCTTCTCAGTGGTGGCCCTTTGGCTATGGAACACCCTCCCTAGGGAGATTAGATCTGTTCCCTCCCTCTTAACATTTTGGAGGCAAGTTAAAACATGGCTGTTCGAGCAAGCGTTTACAAATGTAGAGTAGCTAATGTAGGAAATTGAATGATTTGACAATGGAACTGGACAAAGCTTGATAATAATGAGACGCTAATGATTTTGTTTTTATTGCTTTTGTGGTGTTTTATATTCTTTAATGTTTTAATCTGTATTATGTTTTTATATGTACCGATTTGTTGGAAACCGCCTTGAGTCGCTGATTGGCTGAGAAAGGCGGTATACAAATACAGTAAATAAATAAATAAAATAAAATAAACAGACATAATAAAACAGATAAATTAAAACATAAGCTTAAAAAGCATGAAAACATTAAAAACAATTATTGGTAGGAACCACATAATCCAAATTCTTAGTCAAGGAACCGTTCCAGTCGTGATTGCACATATTCCGTCTTTAGAGAGGCTTCCCAACACCCATACATGCTCTTAAGACAACATTGTATTTGCAATCACTTATTTAAGTTCACACAATTCATTTTGTCTGCTGACCATGTACAACAACCTGACCTTCTTTGGGTTCATTTTTACTAATGCAAAGGTGTGTGAAATCACTCTAAAAGATGAACATAAAGACAATGGCTATACCTGCAACTGTATAGTTCCCCCTTTTCCTATGATCTTTCAACTCTTATTTTCTGAGGACAAATGCAGATCCAAAGAATGCCAGGAGTTATACAGACAATTATTTTGCACAAACAGTGCTCGGTGAACCTGTTTCATTTTCAAACCTCCCACTTCATGCTGATTCTTTAACAATTATGATGTAAAGGCTAGCATCCGTTGATAACTGAAATGGTTTAATCTCAGATTTTACTTGCATACATGTTTCAGATAGTGGTATCTGCTGCCTCCTTTCATAGTACTCATTCCCTGGTGCAGTGCAGCTTGTTTTTGCTGGGCCAGGTAGTAGCCAAGGGGGCAAGGAAGTGTGTAGATGCAATCCAGCTGCTTTCCTGAATCTCCAATGTGTAGTACATACACTGTGATGATGGGCATCGCGAAAGACAACAGTTTCACTTTTTTACAGGCTGTTCAACTGCAGCTAGAGAGTACCCGAGCATTTCCTCACCCCCTGGCTCTTAATGGCCTGTCAACAAGCTGCATTGCACAGTTAAGAGAATATGGATACTCAGTATATAGTACTGGCAGAGTATCTGAATACATAAATAGCACTATATCAATAAATGTAGTTGTTACTTATACTCATCCGTCATTGTTTAGCTTTGACAAGAAATGGTTATGATTTGAACTGGTGGCTGATGCATTTAGTAGTTACACCATTTGCTACCACTGAACGTGGTAGAGGGATCAAGAGGACAAAATCTGTTCGGCCAGAGAAGCATCTCTTTCACGGAGCAACCGCTCTGTGGCTCTTGTGGTGTTCTCACGTATACACCTGCCTCCCTTCCTCAGACTCAGTGAAACTCAGCAGTATGACGGCCATCAGCCTGGGGACTCTGGAGGCTCAAAGTTTCCTCTGAACCTAATTCAGCTCAAGTGGCTCTTTCTGCTCATGGGCCAATGACGGGACTAGCAGAGGGCAGGACTAAGGTAGCCAGGGTGCTGAAGGTCAGTATTGAGGCCCACAGGGAATGTGTCACCACTGCCTGCCTGCACCTCCTAGCTTGTCCTGCTGACTCCTTTACGCCATCATAACAGCACAGGGTACTGCTATGATGCCAAGGGGACGTTGTGATGGGATGTGTCATCTCCTTTTCCTTCTCCTCTCTCCCCCCATCTCTGTTTCTGTCTTCATCCCTCAGCTGGAAGCCCTGGTGTGGTGATTGCACTGCATCAGAATGCAGTCTGCCAGACTGAAAATCTGCTTCTTTTCCCACCTCCTCTCTCCCTTTCTCACACAGGCTCTACTACCATCTTGAACTCAGAAAGACCCAAAGCTTGCCTCTCCCCCTGAGCGTCAGCTATGGAGAGGCACTGCCGAAGTGGCTGCGGAGCAACCTCTCTCTGACGGACGTTATGACCAAATGGGAAGAGTACCAGCGCCAGCTGATGCTGGGGCTGTTCTGTATTAACGTGGACCTGCAGGCGTCGATATTCCCCTTGGAAGGACTGCGGATGAGACACCCGTCGTCAGGCTGCACGCAAGAGAGCCTCCAGCTCTTCTGAGACTCACCACTGTTTGAGCAGAGGGGAAGGGAAAAGAGGGTGGGTAGTGACCACATCTTAATAGTCTCCTAATGGAACTCTTTATAGCCACTAATGGATTTTTCCCCTTCCTGTTCAAGAAAGAAAATTGGTATAAAAATAACCCATCATGCCACTGCTGAGTGGGAGACTGATACAATGTGTTGAGTACACTCTTGGAAAGAATGGTGGATAAAATACTTGGCAACTGCAGCACATGTGGTTGGTCTCTTAGCTGAACTGGGAAGAACATAACCTGGAAAATGCCTTGGGAGGCATCATCCTGAACTTCTTGTTAGTAATGGGAGGAATGGGACACAATCAGTGCTCTGGTATTTCATTCTCGTTTTTTTTAACCTATCACTTTTAAAATTATAAAGTTTTTCTGTTTTATGAAAATTTTTAGTGCCCTGAGATCTTCTCTTTCTGAGCTGTGGAACAATAGAAAAGGGAAAGCAGTCTGGAAGGACCACTTCTTGTAGTGAAGGCACTCTGTGGTTTTCTTGGTTCTCAACAGAGACATCTTGTAATTGCTGCCTCCTATTCTCATGCAAATCCACTGTGAATGTATCACACAATATAGATATCGGAAGTGCAGAACTGTTAGCTTAAGTCCTGATCTACTAGTGTTCCCTATTTTTCTCAGGCTAGTCTCCTTCTATAGGATATTTTATTCTGGGGAGAAGAGAAATGCTTAGAAGTTCCTAAATATGGTTGCTAAAACTGTGTTTGAACTTTATTTTCAGATAACCTGTTTGTTTTTTTTAAATGTCTCCTGCTATTTCATCCCCAATGTTTTATTTATCTTCTTAATGTTTATGATCATAAAACGAATGTAAAGAAGGATGAAAGGGGAACATGGGAGCTAAGGATAATGCATGTTTCAGAATGGTTTGTGACAAGTATGATTAACGAGCTGGCCATAGAAGGATAATGAACAGGGAAGCATTTGGGTTGCACTTGCAAATGGACATGAAGCAATTAAAACCTAGATACCAACATCCAGAGTGGTGCAAATGGAGGTAACATTTCCTGTGAAATTCATACCTCACTTGTGCCAGTTGTAGAAGATGCTGACAGTTCTAGCAAGATGGTGGCTATTTAGCCTGTTGTGGTAAAGTAGGGATAAGGATCTAAAGGTCCCGATGGAGATGGCAGGACTGTATGAACAGTAGGAATAGAAATGAAAAGCCAAATTGATGGTACATCCTTCTTTGCATCCTTAATGTGTTGAACCAGCAAACCCTTGCTTCCTTTATGCTCGGATAATAGAAATATAATTACCACAGATTAACTTTATTGATTCAGAACACACACACACACACCTACCCCCCACTACTCTTGTCCACCTTTTTGTGCTCCAACCTCTATTTGCTGAACTTGAAACACTCCAGGTAACGGAGCAAATTCCACCTCTTTCCTAAGTCCATGATCAAATGTAATGTATCTACAACTGATTTTCACCAGCACTGACCTTCTTTGTATTGTTTTCACTGCCGTTGCCTTGTTCTTACTACCGTGTAGTATGGCCACTCTGTCATACGATTGGAAAAGGGCAGGGTTCCATTTCATATAGCAATACTGTTTTATCTGACACACTTTTCTCTATTGGGATCCAATGGGACCTTCCTTGTTGTGATTGTGTAATATAATAGCACACATGTTTTATGCCATAGGAACAAAAGGGAGAGTGGCTACCTTTGTATAGAGATAAAGTTTAATTTCCTTTTTACTCTAACCAGATGGCCATTTCTGTTCTTGTAGTATCACAATCTGATGAATGCCAAAGACAGCACAGCAGTTGGGTGCTGTGGAGATGGCTTAGAAACTGTGAATAAATCAGTGTTAATAGTAATGGAGTTTCAGGTGCCAATAGAGAACAGGTGGGTGGATGTAGTTTGGAACACATGCATGTACAAGGGGCATCTAGTAGATTTTTGTAGTGCCAAAGCAGATGAGAGGTAGCTTATTGCACAAATGAGCTGCATGCTGCTCTTTGTCAACAAAGGCCCATACCTGCCTGATTTTTTTTTAACGGTGCGGTGTAAGGCAGGGAATAAAGTCAATTAAAAGTGGCTTAAGCCAAAATAATTCTAACTTGGTGTAACACAAGGTCATCTAGTAGCTAAGCAACTAGGATGTTAATGATCTTTCTGGAAATCTACTGAATGTCTAGAATTATTGAGATGGTTACAAGTTTTGAGTTTATTTTTATTTTTGAAACAGCAAGTACTATAAAATTTAATCTAATACAGAAAGTAATCTTTTGGTTCTTAATTGGCTATTCGTATAGTACAAATGACTGCTTTGGTTTATGAACCAACTTTATTCATTTTTTCCAACATAATTTGGAAAAGTAGAGTTTTTAAACATGAAAGCTTTGTGAGAAGAGAAACTGGGAGCGGTGAAGGGTTTGACACTCTGGACCATTGAGTAGCCACTCCCCTACACTTTATGTAAACACTTTGGGTGACAAGGAGTTCACTGTTCTTTCTGCAAACATTTGCTTTATTCTGAATGCATCTAACAAATTGCAGCAAAGCCATAACACTCTCCCCAGAATCGAAAAACTTGTCTTTCCATTGATGTTAGATCCATCAGAATGCAACTAGGGAAATACTTGTTAGGCTATGTGCTGCTTTTTCTTAATCTTTTATAATTGATGAACAAACAAATAATACTATCAACAAAACAGTGGTCCTTAGCATTTTAAATAAAATGTGGTCTGATTCATGGAGTTTGTGGAGTTCCAGACTCAAATGTTTTCTTTGGAGGGGAAAAAAACCTGTGGAACTACTTATTGAGAAGTCACACATAAAATCTCAAATAAGATCTACAGCATAAAAACTAAAGGGGTGTGTGTATATATAGATGAGGAACTACCTGAAGTATTTAACCTTTTCCCATGTGTTCCCCCACTCTTCAGCTAAAAAATCATAGCAAGCATCTTAAAGGTGAAGTAGATTCATATAATTGAAATAAGAAGATGCAAAGGTAAAATCCACTTATTACAAAGTTTTGCATGAAGGATAGTAATTGCAAGAGATCTTTCTCATATTTCAATGAACTATTGATTAACCTGCTATAGGTAGCTTCATGGGAAGGGCAGTCATGTTTCCAATATCTGGCAAAATGGATTTCTTTTATCATCTCAAGCTTGGGGAAACACCTTTTGTGTTTGTTTGTTGTCTACTGATTATAGCAATAAAGACCATTTGTTGTCTCTGAGAAGACGCTGAGCTTGTGTTTGAATGAGCCAACTATAACCAACTAATAAGTTATTCAGCACTCTATTTTATGTTTAAAATGTTGTTGTACAACTATTTAGGTATTTTTAATATGCTGCTACTTAAAGCACAGTGACTATATTGATGAGCTCGTGTTTGCTGCTAATGTATTCTAATTTAGAGAGGGTTCTTCTGTAGCCGTTCATCAAACCAGCTGCAAAAATAATCAGCATTATAGTTTTAAGTAATTTCAGTTCTAACAATTACCAAAATCTGTCACTGGAAATGGAGGCTGTGTATAGCAACAAAGTGCCGGTTGGAAAGATTAGGTGTGTCAGATATGACATGTTTTTTTCGATATGGAGTGGCCTGTGTGTGAGCCCTGGAAAGGAGGGCTTTTGTAATTCAGCACATAGCTTTGCTATAGTTTGCCCACTCTAAGAATAACATCTAATTATATCAGAAGCTGGATGATTTGTACACGTTGGCTATTGCAAGAGCATGCTCATGTTTCCCCAGTGCCTTTTAAAAAATGCCAAGCATTCCAGCACTTTTCATGGCACCTATTCCTCTTCTGTTGTCTCTGCATTTGGCTTCCTTTAATTCAGTAGCAGCTGCTGGGTTACCAACACCACTGCAGAAGGAATAGTTACTGGCCCTTGTGATTGGTGTCCTCTCTATTCCACAGATACATATTGGCCTGTCTTACAAACTATGGGAAACCCAGCATGCCAAATAGAGAATGAGATTTAACCTTATTTTTAAAAAGCTTAATTTAAATTTGCATTTATTTTATTTGAGACTGCAGGACTGTGTGCTAAAATGAGGTGAGCTGGGGGAAGCGTTCCCACAGTGCTGTGACACTTTTGTGCACTTTGATGGACATCCAGGGGTAGATCAGTTTTAGCACTTGTGAGTGAATAATAGGGACCCTTTTGTCTGAAGTTAAAGCAATGGGGAAATTAGGAAAGAAAATGGCAACTATTAAAAGGCAACATTTTAATGGTTATCCTTCAAAAATTTTGTTACTTTGTGTTACGTTTTGCTTCCCCTCACCCCATTTCTCTCCCTCCAGTGTTTTATTGAAAGTGTATAAAGTATTTATTTTGATAGAATATACCTCCCTAATAAAAAAAAAAAAGCTTTCTAAACACATTGAATTGCTGTGTGGGGTTTTATTGACTTGTGCCTCCAGGCTTGGAGTCAGCTGGTGTGTCCTACTCAGCATCATGTGTGTTTGATGATGCTGTAGATTTAGAGGGAAACCACAACTGAAGGGAGAGGTGGCTGACCCACCAAAATCCATGGGCTGAACACAAGAAATAATGTTGCAGCAGTGCATCATAAGGCTCTGTTAGAGCTTTGGGGACACTGGGGGGTCATCAGATGTTGAACTCTGGCTCCTATCCGCCCTAACAGCATGGCCAAGAATGAGATATGATGGGACTGGAATGTCAGAAGGCTGTGGCCTTTTGTTTCTTTTTCTTTGGAAGAGGAACGGCATAAGCATTAGCATTCACATTCATATCTAAAGATTTTCTTCTGCCGTGTGGGTAATATAAACACAGGATAACAGTCTTCAAGCAAAAGCAGGCAAGTTGGTCAAAGTACTCACAATAGTCCTTTTATTGTTCAGAGAAAGATTCAAAGGCATCTCCCTGCATTCTTTCTTCTCCTCTTCCTCCTCCACATCTTCCCTTAGCCCCACCTTCACCCACACCACTGTCACAATCACTCAGCTGATGGTCATCAAATCTAAAGAAAAAACTTATTCCAGAGGCTCAATTAATCTATTCATTTAATTGAATAACGTGAAACACATCCTCAAATTAGCGTATCACCAGGAGAACATAACAAGCACATTGCCAGATATACCACTTGTACAGCAAGTCTGGCAGCTTCAAAAATGGAGACACGGAGGCAAAAATAGCTGACAAATGATATTAGAAGCACATTAATTACAAATCTGCTAATGTCTTGTGTGTAGGTTGCAAAAAAAAAGTCAGGAACACCAATATCCCTTTTAAAAGGTAAAGGTTTCTCTTTGACATTAAGTCTAGTTCATGTCCGACTGGGGGGTGGTGCTCATCTCCATTTCTAAGCCGAAGAGCCGGTGTTGTCCCTAGACGCCTCCAAGTTCATGCAGCCAGCATGACTGCATGGAGCACCGTTATCTTCCAACCAGAGTGGTACCTATTGATCTCACATTTGCATGTTTTCAAACTGCTAGGTTGGCAGAAGCTGGGGCTAACAGCAGGAGCTCACTCTGTTCCCCGGATTTGAACTGCCAATCTTATAGTCAGCATGTTCAGCTGCTCAGCAGTATAACCTGCTGCACCACCGGGTTAAATCCCTTCTTTTAACTTGTAATTCAAGGATGGAGTGCCTCTGGATCAAGGGGTATATGCAATGATCTATAAAAAAGAAATGAGCCCTGTCTTGTCAACATTGAAGAAGTCTGGACCAGGCATGGCCTACCAATAGGGGAAGCAAAATGGGTTAGAAAATATATGGAGGAGGAGAAGGCTGGCAAGACATAGGTCTTGTGGTAAGAGGGTAGAGTCCAGAATAGATCCTTTTACTGAAAAACTTATGGGGTGGAGGTTGATAAAGGATACAGGGTTATGAAACAACAAGGTCAAAAAAGACTTCTGGTAATGGACCATGTAACTATGCTCTAGCCATCCTATTAAAGCCAATAAAGATGACTTGTGAGGCTTGGATCTGTGAAACATTGTTGGGCATATTGCTGCCTTTCACTCCCACTCCAGAACAAATTGTAATCCTGATTTGAGCAGTTGTAGATTTCCCAACTGGGTACATTTTCTTCTAAAATTGAAAACCTATAAAATTTGGTAAACATCTAGAGTGTTGATTTCCAAGGTGTGTTCACTAGAAAGAAAGAAAATGAGCACAAGAAGCCTTGAAGTGGCTCTCCTAGCTAGCAAAAGGATTGTATGGAAATCACACTCAAATTCCATTCATTTCAATGAAGCTTCTCTTCTGATCCACACATATTATCCTCCTCCTCCTGCTGCTGCTTTCCTGTCTTAGGCAAGACTCAAAGTGGCTCCTAACTTTAAAAAAACAATGCAATCTAAAACCTACAACATATACATATCGAGGTAGAATTAAACCTAGGTAAAGGTAAAGGTTTTCCCCTGACATTAAGTCCAGTCTTGTCTGACTCGGGATTGGTGCTCATCTCCATTTCTAAACCGAAGAGCCAGCGTTGTTCGTAGACACCTCCAAGGTCATCTGGCCAGCATGACTTCATGGAGTGCTGTTACCTTCCTGCCGGAGAGGTACCTATTGATCTACTCTCATTAAACCTAGAATTGTTAAAACAAATCAGGTAAAATTACGTAACACCATTAAAAAGTTAAAATAATTAGAACACTACACAGTATCCTCTGGCTCATTCTTAAAGATGGTCAGCCTTAAAAGCCTCCCCGAATAAAAACTATTACTGACCCAAAGGTTTTAGCACTGCAAATGGCTTTTCACAGTTGTTATATTTGAGATATTTAAAACATGGATGCTATTGGTTGCCTGTTTATTTTATTTATTTACAGTATTTATATTCCGCCCTTCTCACCCCGCAGGGGACTCAGGGTGGATTACAAAGAACACATATATGGCAAACATTCAATGCCAAACACACACAACCGATAGAGACAAACAGTCAGAGGCATTTAACTTTTTTCTGGCTGCCAGGGGAGTTGTCGCTTTCATTGTCCATCTGCAACACTGATGAAGTACTTCCACATTCCCCGCATGCTTTTTGCTGGAGTGCTTTGCTGGAGTCTTTTTTATGGCCTCGTAAATTTTGTTAAATTAGCCTCCCCACACATAGGTGGTACCTAATTTTCCTACTTGACAGATGCAACTGTCTTTCAGGTTGCAAAAGTCGACAACAAGCTACACAATTGGTCAGAAGCTCACTCCAACCCGGGCTGGCTTCGAACTCATGACCTTGTGATCAGAAGTGATCTTAATGCAGCTGACACTCAGACAGCTGTGCCACAGTCCCAGTGTTGTGAAGCTGCCCTGAGTCACCCTCAGGGGGTGAGAAGGATGGGGTACTCAAGTAGATAGATAAATAGATAGATAGATAGATAGATAGATAGATAGATAGATAGATAGATAGATAGATAGATAATAGATAAGGCAATTTAGGCCACTCTCATGAATAACTGGCAGCACATTAAAATTTCATTCTCCATTTGCATATAATGATGCTTGTAGGCATAATACAGGATCCTTTCCACTTTGAATTTTCAGAACTTTCTGGAGGAATCAAAATGAAATCCTACATACAGCGCCATTACTCACTCGAGTTTTTTTATATCTGTGTATGATAGACTGTATTCAGTGCTGTCAACTGCAATCATGTTGAAATTTATGGAGAATGTTTAAAAATATATAAATATTTGGAAATAAATTATCATTTGGTGGTTCTTACAGTTTCATGTTTTTGTTGCAGCTTTCGTAGTAATTTTGAACAAATCATTAATAGTTTAGAGTAGGCATGGGCAAACTTTGGCCCTCAAGGTGTTTTGGACTTCAACTCCCACAATTGCAGTAGACTGTTAGGAATTGTGGGAGTCAAAGTCCAAAACACCTGGAGGGCTGAAGTTTGCCCATGCTTAGTTTAGAAGATTAAAAACTTCAAGGAAAAAAGTAGAGTTAGGCAGCCACTTCAGGCATTTTGTAGAAAGGGCACCAATGGCAGTGACATGACTGTGGGGAGTGGAAGGTGTACAAATCACATTGGGTGACACCATTAGAGCAGGTGACACCGACATGACTGCCTATAAAAAAATTTGTCCAGTGCTTCATGAGATATACAGAGGCTGTCTGGCCATCTGTCAGGGGTGCTTTGAATGCAGTATTCCTGCTTCTTGGCAGGGGGTTGGATTGGATGGCCCATGAGGTCTCTTCCAATTCCATGATTCTATTATTCTATATGTATTGTTTTAAAATAAAACAAAACCACAAAATGATTTTTCTGGAAGGTCGTGTACTGTATGAATCCACCTACAAGGCTAAGCTTTGTGCTAATTCTCTTTTTTAAACCTTCTAATGCATAGGGCCCCCTGGTGGCACAGCAGGTTAAACTGCTGAGCTGCTGAACTTGCTGACCGAAAGGTTGGTGGCTCAAATCCAGGTGAGCTCCTGCTGTTAGGCCCAGCTTCTGCCAACCTAGCAGTTCGAAATCATGCAAATGTGAATAGATAAATAGGAACTGCTCCAGAGGGAAGGTAACGGCGCTCCATGCAATCATGCCAGCCACATGACCTTGGAGGTGTCTACGGACAATGCCAGCTCTTTGGCTTAGAAATAAAGATTAGCACCACCCCCCAGAGATGGACATGACTAGACTTGACATCAAGGGGAAAACTTTACCTTTACTTAATGCATATGTGGTTAGTTGGAGCAGTCTTTATTACCTAATGATACTCAGAATCAAGTGGCTTCATTTGCATGCGTAACAAGCACAGGATGTTGCTTTTGTTGCTTCGTGATTATTATTATTATTTGTATTTTTGCTACAATACTGTGGTCTGGTCTGGTCTGGTCTGGTCTGGTCTGGAAGGAGGCCTATGGGTGACATTAGGTGTTACCACCCACCCGGGAATGCCACTGTCCCATGGCTGTTATTGGAGTTTAGAGAAGGGTTGCAGGAACTTTCTGCCTCTTGGGCTAAAAGGATTTGCCTTGCTTTGGATGCTAGATCCACTGCAAAGGAGGTGGATCTCCATCCTAATCCTAATCCATCTACATCAGGCATGGCAATCTTTGGCCTTCATTCCATGTGTTTTGGACTTCAGCTCCCACCATTCCTAACAGCCTTGGGGCCCTTTCCTTTCTGCCCTCAGCTGCTTAAGTGGAAAAGGAAAGGAAAAGGAAGAGGCCTGAGGCAGTTAGTAATGGTGAGAGTTGAAGTCCAAAACACCTGGAGGGAAGGCCAAAGTTTGCCAATGCCTGGTCTACACTGTGAAATGAATGGCTCAATGCTAATGAATCCTGGGAGCTGAATTTTTACAAGGGCTTTAGCCTTCTCTGCCAGAAACTACAACCCGCAGAATCCCATCACATTGAATTACAACCCCCAGAATGCCATCACATTGACAAAGAGCAGTTCACACTGTGCCAAAGTGCATGCCTTATATCAGGGGTCCTCAAACTTTTTAAACTGAGGGCCAGGTCACATTCCCTCAAACTGTTGGAGGGCCGGATTATAATTTGAAAAAAAACATGAATAAATTCCTATGCACACTGCACATATCTTATTTGCAGTGCAACCCCCCCCCCATAAAAACAATACAATAATTAAAATGAAGAACAATTTTAACAAATATAAACTTGTTAGTATTCCAATGGAAAGTGTGGGCCTGCTTTTGGCCGATGAGATAGGATTGTGGTTGTTGTGCGCTTTCAAGTCCTTTCAGGCTTAGGTTGACCCTTAGCAAGGGCCGGGTAAATGACCTTGAGGGGCCTTATCTGGCCCTCAGGCCTTAGTTTGAGGACCCCTGCCTTATATAATGTAGATCTGGCCTGGGCAAACTTGGGCCCTTCCTTCAGGTGTTTTGGATTTCCGCTCCCACCATTCCTAACAGCCTCAGGCCCTTTCCTTTCCCCCCTCAGCAGCTTAAGTGGAAAGGAAAGGAAAGAAAGCAAGGGGCCTGGAGCTGTTAGGAATGGTGGGAGTTGAGGTCCAAAACACCTGGAGGGAGGCCCCAAGTTTGCCCAGGACTGGTGGAGATGCCTCCCACGTTGGGAGCAGTTCTAGGATGAATGAATTGATACATGCCTGGATGTATTCCATGGATTTCCTGGGGGGTATAGTTTCGAGAGGCACCGCCCCTCTTTGGCAGTGAAGGCGAATTACCATTCCCATGATCCCATAGGATGGGAATGGTGAGAGTGTTGCCCAACTGCAGTGTGAATCCGGGGCAGCGTGCCTTGGGCCACCCTGGGCGGGCGGGCGGGCGCAGAGGGAGGCATCCCGGGGGATGGCTCGGGGCGTGGGAGGCGCGCCAGTGGGAGGGAGGCCTTCCCCGGAGGCAACTTGGCCCGTGCCTTCTGCCCTCCGCCCCGGGATGGGAAAAGCCCTGCCGCGGACGTAGGCGGCTCCGAGGAGGGCAAGCACTCCTTCCGCACTCTCTCTGGCGGAGAAAGAGAGCCTATGCCTGGCATCGCTTGATCTGTCAGAGCTCGGTACTAGAGACTCCCGGGAGCTGTAGTTTCGCAAGGTCTGCAGCTTTCTCTGCCAAAGAGGGATGGTGCCTTTCCACTGGACAAACCCCAGGATTCAGAGAATCACAGAGTTGGAAGAGACCTCGTGGGCCATCCAGTCCAACCCTCTGCCAAGAAGCAGGAAAATCCCATTCAAAGCACCCCCGACAGGTAGCCATCCAGCCTCCAAAGAAAGAGCCTCCACCACACTCCGGGGTTGAGAGAGAGTTCCACTGCAAATCGTATTCAAAGCACCCCCCCCCCCGCAGATGGCCATCCAGCCTCTGCTTAAAAGCCTCCAAAGAAGAAGCAGAGAGTTCCACTACTGAACAGTTCTCACAGTTAGGAAGTTCAGGTGGAACCTCCTTTCCTGGAGTTTGAGGCCATTGTTCCGCGTCGTAGTCTCCAGGGCAGCAGGAAACAAGCTTTCTCCCTCCTCCCTATGACCACCTCACATACATGGCTATCATGTCTCCTCTCAGCCTTCTATTCTGCAGGTTGAACATGCCCAGTTCTTTAAGCCGCTCCTCATAGGGCTTGTTCTCCAGATCCTTGCTCATTTTAGTCGCCCTCCTCTGGACACATTCCAGCTTGTCAACATCTCCCTTCAACTGTGTCACCCAGAATTAGACACATTATTCCAGGTGTGGTCTGACCAAGGCAAAAAAGAGGGGTAGCATGACTTCCCTGGATCTAGACACTAGACTTCTATTGACGCAGGCCAAAATCCCCCCCCCCCTTTTTTGCCGCTATATGACATTGTTGGCTTATGTTTCACTTGTTGTCCACGAGAACTCCCAAGATCTTTGCCACKCCTACTGCTGTCGMTTCCCTAGCATKGAGCCCTGATGGCGGGGAAAGTGGAGTGGAACTGCAACCGCGTTTCTCAAAGTTTGGGGACATCGGCTCCGGGAATGCCCAAGTGTTGGCCAAGTTGGTGTCGACATCCAAACCAGCTGGGAAGCGCGGGGAGATGCCTCTGTCCCTCCCTCCTCCTGCCTTCTTCCTCTTGAGATTTGCACTGGGAACAGGGAGCGCGCGCGGGAGACTTGAAAGGCCTTTCCTGGAGGGAGGCGCGCGCACGGCCAGCCTCTCTCTCTCTCTCTCTCTCTCTCTCTGGGATTGGCTTCCTCATCTCCTCCTCCTCCTTTTTCTCCTCCTCCTCCTCCTCCACCTGTCGCGCTCCTGGCCAAGGGAGGAAGAGGGCTCAAATCGTGGCTGGTCCTGTCCCTTCCTTTCCTGTCCTGTCCTTTCCAGAGGCTGCTTGGCGGCGTTTCCGGGCGGAGCGCGCGGCCCCTCCTTGCCCTGCCCCAGGCGCCCCGGTCTCGCGCGCCTCCTGGCCACGCGCCAAGCAGMCCCCCCCCCCCTCCTCCTCCGCGAAGGGAAACGCCGAGACCGGCAGCTTGGGCCTCGCTCCGTCACGCGCGACCGAAGGGTTTCCCACCTAAAGCCTTGCCTCCAGGTTTTTTTGCTTCCCCCACGGCGCAGGTAAGTGGAAAGGAAGGCGCCCGAAGGAATGCCCGAAGTGCAGCCATTGGCATGCCTTCTTGCGGGGGAGGAAGGCTCCCGGCCTGCTTTTGGGGTCCCTCCGCGAGCAGGGGACTCCTGTGCTTTCAGTGACGTATTCTATATCGCTTCTTCGTGGCTAGTGTACAAAGCGTTCGCTTCAGCCCCAACTTTTCCTGAACTTGAGTGAGAACAGGTAGAAGTTCCAGCGGTGGAGACGCCAGGCTGGCCTTGGGGGAAATCACAGAGTTGGAAGAGACCTTGTGGGCCATCCAGTCCAATACCCTGCCAAGAAGCAGGAAAATCGCATTCAAAGCACCCCCGACAGATGGCCGTCTAGCCTGTTTGAAAACCTCCAGAGAAGGCTTTGAAGGCGATTTTCCTGCGCATCCACCTCACAACCTCTGAGGATGAATGCCATAGATGGAGGCAAAACGTCAGGAGAGAATGCTTTGAGAACATGGCCATCTAGCCTGAAAAACCTACAACAACCCAGGTTTTCCTGCTTCTTGGCAGGGGGTTGGACTGGATGGCCCATGAGGTCTCTTCCAACTCTATGCTTCTCTGATTCTAAGGCGCTTCCACCACACTCCAGAACAGAGAGTTCCACTGCTGAACTGCTCTCAGAGTTATGAAGTTCTTCCTCATGTTCAGGCGGAATCGCCTTTCTTGTGGTTTGAAGCCATTGTTCCACGTCCAAGTCTCCAGGGCAGCAGAAAACAAGGTGGGCTTGAACCTGCTGTTCTCCTCCTCCTCCTCTTGGGTCCTGTGCCTGGACTTGGCCTTCCAGGGCAGCCTGAGCCCTGGCGACTTGGCAGAGGAGTCTGTTCCTGGTGTGGAGGGAGGGAGGCCTGGTGAGAAACGTGTCACTTGCTGGGCTTTGGCAGTGTTTGCTTGGCTGCCTCCTCCGAAAGGCGAAGGAGCAGCAGGTGCTGACAGTCCCAAAGACAGGAGCAGGCGGGATCCATTGTGCCACTGCCAACTCTTAAAGCATTTCTTTCCTGTGAGTTAGCACAGTGCTTCCCAACCTGGGGGTTGGGACCCCTGGGGGAGGGGGTCATGAAGGGATCTCAGACGGGTCACCAAAGACCATCAGAACATACAGTATTTTCTGTTGGTCATGGGGGTTCTGTGTGAGAAGTTTTGGCCAATTCTATAATTGCTGGGGTTCAGAATGCTCTTTGTTTTTAGGTGAACTATAAATCCCAGCAACTACAACTCCCAAATGTCAAGGTCAATTTTTCTCCCAGTGCTCACATTTGGGCGTATTGAGTATTCGTGTCAAGTTTGGTCCAGACGCATCACTATTTGAGTCCACAGTGCTCTCTGCATGTAGGTGAACTACAACTCCAAAACTCAATGCCAATGCCCACTAAACCCTTCAAGTATTTTTTGTTGGTCATGGGAGTTCTGTGTGCCAAATCTGGTTCAATTCTATCATTGGTGGAGCTCAGAATGCTTTTTGGTTGTAGGTGAACTATAAATCCCAGCAACTACAACTCCCAAATGAAAAAAAAAAACCCAAAACACCCCCAGTTCTCTCCCCCCCCCAACCCCTGGGCGTATTGGGTATTTGTGCCAAATGTGGTCCAATGAATGAAAATACATCCTGCATAACATATTTACATTACGATTCATAACAGTAGCAAAGTTACAGTTATGAAGTAGCAACAAAAATAATTTTGTGGTTGGGGGTCACCACAACATGAGGAACTGTATTAAGGGGTTGTGGCATTAGGAAGGTTGAGAACCACTGCCTTAGCAGCTGTGCCACAGGCAGAAACTTAAGAGAGGCACTTTCTCTCCATCGCTTGAAACTCTAGTGCAGACATAGGCAAACTTTGGCCCTCCAGGTGTTTTGGACTTCCACTCTCGCAATTGTGGGAGTGGAAGTCCAAAACACCTGGAGGGCCAAAGTTTGCCCATGCCTGCTCTAGTGGGGAAAGCTCTGTCATTCATTCTTACAGAAGGCCATCCAGCCTCTGCTTAAAAGCCTCCAAAGAAGGAGCCTCCGCCACACTCTGGGGCAGAGAGTTCCACTGCTGAACAGTTCTCACAATCAAGAAGTTCTTCCTAATGTTCAGGTGGAACATTAAAAAAGATCTGCTTTGAACTGGGTTATCTGAGTTCACACGGCCATATATTCCAGTTCAAAGCAGATAATGTGGGATTTTATTCTGCTGTGTGGAAGGGGCCTTAGATATGGTTTGCATGATTTTCTGTAGGTGAGCAGATGGCAACTGGTATATAGCCAGTGTCCTGTATCGAGAATATTAGAGCTGATAGGGGAAAATTGGTGCTATTTTTGGAATCAGTGGGTCATATATACCCAGAAACAGTGTTAACATTTGAGACACTAGAATGTGTGTTGGCCAACGTTATGATTATTATTTCTCACCCACCTGGAACAATGATATATTAATGCAATAGATATCATCAGTTAGGAACCCCCAGTAGCACAATGGGTTAAATTGCTGATCTTGCTGACCAAAAGGTTGGCGGTTCGAATCCAGGGAGCAGGGTGAGCTCTTGCTGTTAGCCCCAGCTTCTCTCAATCTAGCAGTTATACAGATGTGAGTAGATCAATAGGTACCACTCCGGCGGGAAGGTAACAGCGCTCCATGCAGTCATGCCTGCCACATGACCTTGGAGGTGTTTACGGACAAGTCCAGCTCTTTGGCTTAGAAATGGAGATGAACACCAACCCCCAGAGTTGAACACAATGAGACTTAATGTCAAGGGGAAACCTTAATCTTCTTTTATCATCAGTTAAAAGTGCATAATGTATAAGCAAAACATTACTTTAAAACAACGTAAATCAATACATATTCACACAAGCAATTCATAACCCCATGATAGGTTTGTCTTAGTTGCCATAAATAAGAAACAACTTGAAGGTTCATAACAACTATTTGTTGTTATTACAGATGAGGGCAACAGTGGCAACATGGTGGCTATAATATTGTCAATGGGGGAAAAATAGTACCTTTGACAGGTGCAGACTTGAGTCCAGGATTCCTGGTGGCAAATTCAGCACAACAATCCAAACAGGCCACTTGGGTTTGTGTTATGTAAATAGGCTGTGGACAGATCTTACAGTATGTTGAAAGTATTGGCTGTAAAATGGGAATGGGACTTTAAATTAAAGTTGAACTACAAATACCACCAGCATTAGGCGGCATAACCAGTAATTTTGTCACACTCCCATTGAAGACACAGGTTCACAGCTTGGGAGTGATCCTAGATTCATTGCTGAGCCTGGAACCCCAGGTCTCAGCGGTGGCTAGGGGAGCTTTTGCACAAATAAAACTTGTGCGCCAGTTGTGCCTATACCGTGGGACATCAGACTTGGCCATGGTGGTCCACGCTCTCGTTATATCCTGAGTAGATTACTGCATTGTACTCTACGTAGGTTGCCTTTGAAGACTTTTCAGAAGCTCTAACTGGTCCAATAGACGGCAACCAGTTTGCTCACCAGAGCGGCATGCAGAGAGCATACAACCCTTCAGCTGCGGCAGCTCCACTGGTTGCCAATCTATTACCGAGCACAATTCAAAGTGCTGGCTTTGGCCTATAAAACCCTGAACAGTTCTGGCCCACTTACCTGTCTGAATGTATCTCCTGCTATGAACCATCGCGAAGTCTAAGATTGACGGGAGAGGCCCTGCTCTCAGTCCCACCATCCTCGCAAGCACGACTGCTGGAGATGAGAGACAGGGCCTTCTCAGTGGTAGCCTCTCACCTGTGGAACTCTCTACCCAGTGACATTAGATTGGCCCTTGCCCTCTTGTCCTTTAGAATTAAACTCAAAACCTGGTTATGGGACCAAGTGTTTGAACAGTAGAGGCAGCAATTTAGAATGAGGCACAATTTGTGTGAATGACAATGGACTGACCTGGACTGTGATTTCAAGCCTGTGTGATTTAAATAATGTTTTAGTAATTTTATGTTTTAATTGCTTTTATCATTTATTAATATTGTTGGAATTGAATGAATACCTGTTGTGAAGCTGCCCTGAGTCCCCCTTCCAGGGGTGAGAAGGACGGAATGCAAATACACGAAATAAATAAAAAATAAAAAATTATAAATGTTGGAACATGCAGTCCAGTGTTATCTGGAGGGTCCCATGAGTACTACCCTTCATATAGAAGAGGTGGTAATAATACAATTTTTTTGGAGTATAACTTTGTGAATTCCTGTACTGCTTTGATTGTGTGATCCTTCATGGCAGGAATCTGGATTATATGGCCCTTGTGATCTTTTCTGGTTCTATAATTCTACTGAAGTCTTTTAAAAAAAGTAAATTTCTTGTCTTCAGTTCTGTCCCAATGGTTTATTGTTTGGTATCAGGAAATACCTTACAGGACTAAGGGTAGCTAAGATTCATGATTCCAGATGGGTGGGATGAGCAAATACAAAATGTAGATCTAGATCTGTTTATTATCTGCACTTAGATAAGATGAATAGATTATAAAGGTCAGCCCTCGTGGTATAGAAAAGAGAGCCAAATTTCCCAGAGGCAAGTGTTCTGAAAAAATATGTATTTGCTTGCAATTGCATCCTCACCGGATGAACATTAAGTCTCCATTGATTTGGATGAGTTTGAGGATAGTAATCAGAGGTCCCAAATCTCAGGGTCTGGCCCTTCTTCTTTGGTCCTTAGGGCAAGAGGGAGGACTTTTAGGTTGTGAGCACTGCCTTTAAAAAGTGTCTCTCTCTCTCTGTGTATGAATATATACAGACACACACTGTGTTAGGTTTGGTGTTTCTAATTCGAATGGTGCAACTGTGGGTGAAGCTTAGTGTACCATCACCAGATAGGGCTACGTATAACATCACCTTTGTAACACAGAATCACAAGCTCATAAAGGCCGTCTCCTAAGAGTCATCTAGTCCAAACTCCACTAGCATCCACTGTGAAAGTACCACTCATATATGGATATCCCATTCTATTTTATGTGCTCCAATGAAGGAGAAGGCTG